CCAAAATCGATTGCATTTTTTTGTTTATATGCTGAAATAAACAATTGACAACACTAAACTTTCTTACAACATTCGAAAAACATATGAAAAACTTTCGTAAGAGTTGTATAGAGCTTTTGCATAAAAATACGAACAACATTGTTATGACTATTGTAGCAGCTGCTGACATACTGCTCATACAATGCTACAACATCGATTGTGAATTGAACAATTATTTAAAAGTGGTATTTGTACAGTGAATCAACTAAGTTTTTTGCCTACCTATTTGTTTTTTGTTCATAAATAAAATTCAAAAAAAAAAAAAACAGGTAAAAAGTAAATTTATGTTTTCCAATTGAAAATAGAGATTGTGTAGAATGGGAAAACCAAGAAAAAAATATTAAAATAAAAATTTTGGTGCATTTGTTGTTGCATTTTATTATTTTTCATCAGAATTTGCACGTCAATAAAGTAATTTGCATATTGAAATTTCCAGTTAATTTCGTTGGGTTTTTCAAATTATTTTTTAATTGCTTTTTGGAATTTATTGTTTTATTGTTAAAAGGACACGTGTTAAGTATTTTTTAATTGTAATTTTCAAAAATCATATCCTTATTGTGTGAAACTGTGTAGTTATTTGCGTTAAAAATGTTTAAAGGGAAATAATGAGTCAATTCCAATATAAAAAATTAGTTTAGATTTTTAGAACAAGTATAAATAAATGAAATTCAATTATGAAATGTTTAATCAATCATTAAAAAATATTAAATATAGAAATTGATGAAATAACACAAAGAATTATTAAAAAAAAACGCACTGAGTTGTCTTTCAAAATCTTTAACTGCCAAAGGAGAGCGACTTGTATCCAAGCAAAAACTATTGAAGCCTCATTTATCTTCTCCAAAGTCCATATACGAACTTAAAAGAACACTATGTTTAAATTTAGACCTCTAAACAGACCTTAGGTTGCTTGGAAACAATATAAAGTGAACTATCGTGTGGTACGGGAAAAATACTTAATTTACAAATAGAGGCGGTTCTCATCACCTAAGATCCACAAAAGCAATATTTTTCAGTTAATACATACACTTATATATAGTTAGAACCCAAATCAAGAATAACTATCCAAATCCAACTACGCCTACTGTACTTTATTCATAAAATAATGCATTCAAAATATGAGGTAGAATATCAAGATTCTAGCATGTAATAGTTCTATAGTGGTATACGGTGATGTTCCCATACTTAGAGTAGCTAGGATGGTACTTAGTATTAGCTTTATTGAATAAGAATCAATATTATACAATTCTAAATGAAATTCACACAGTACTCCCCAAATAGATGGGGTTTCCGTAATGTAGTTTTTGTTTATCAATACAAAATGACTAAAAACCCAGATTATTTTTGTTATAATCTATAGATTTATACCCCACTAAAATTTTTTTCTAGGTCCAAATCCATTGATTTCCTAATATATCATGTATCCAATTCAAAATTACTTATTATTTTCGAAATTAAATCAAAGAAACGATAGATTTCATGTTAAGTCAAATATTGAAAAATTCTTATAGGTATATAGGATAATAAATCGGTTAAGAAATGTCGTTAGTCGTTCCACTACTAAAATATCTAAAAAATGTTATTCTAATACATAGGAGTAATAAAAATATTAAATTTTATAAAATAATGCAGCAATATTAAAAAATGAACAAAAAACCTAAAAAAGCAAAATACTTTATTGACCTTAAAAATTAACAATACGTTCACAAAAATCTCGTTAATTAATATCACGATTTTACTTTTTATGGTAGAAAATTAAAATATAAGATATTCTTTAAAAAATACAACAAACAAATTGCTTTATTTTGCTAAAAATAATTGTTCAGATAAAGTTTTTTCTTAAAATTTATAAAATTTTACATAGGCAAATTACTTAATTGATTCGCTGTATATTGGTTTAAAATATTTAGAAATGTGTTAAGAATATATGGAAGAAAACACGGAATCATAAATTCTTATTTATTGAAAATAATTAGGTTTTTTAAAAAAGATAATGAAATTGCATTCAAAATAATAGCCCCAATTATGTTTAGATGTTAAATTACACATACAAATTCTCGATTGGCACTTGTCCAAAATTCAGTTTTTGACTATTCTTCGGATGTTATGTGGGCCTTTGTATTATTACATGACCAAAATCTGTAAATGTTATCAGATACATTTGACAGTGTAATTTGCATAAGGACTTTAATGTATTCCGATGTTTCCATGTTAGTTAGTCCTGTCTGCTCTGTAAACCGAATCCGAGTAAATTTCTCGTTTAAAAACGAGTTCTCATAATTTTTCTGGTTTTAAAACCGAGTACGGAAATCAAGTCGAAAGTAAATCGAATTTAATTTTATTCTAATAAATTAAATAATTATTTTTTGCGTTTTTTAATACAATTGTAACTTAATATAAATTCTATGGACATTTTAAACTCTTTCATTTAAATATGTTTATTTTTCTGAATTTTGCGTTCAATTAAAAATTCGATTTGCAGAACACCAAATTCGGTTTTAAAAGCTTCTCGGTTTTGAAAACGAATCGATTTACAGAACAGACATTTTATATGGTAATGGTTGCGAGCTCACTCGGAGGACTTGTGGCCCATTGTGATACCCTTAAAATTACCATTCCCTAATATTGAGAGAATGGGGTCCCTCCCTAATTTCGTCTCCGTGAAAACGAGCCGGTACTTCTAATAAAACCGATCATGCATCTCTGAGACAGTCTAGATCATGGAAAAGAGCTCTACCAAGATAGAGAAGATTGTGCTCTTGTAATCTGAGCAGTCACATAGGTGTTGTACCAATTCCACTTCTTCGCCCAAGCAGCTTCTACAGTAGCTTTAACTTGGGTAGCCCATACGTTCCGACATATGTCCAATCATACAGTGCTCAGTAATTATACCAGTTAGAAACCTAATCCAGTTCTTTCTAAGAGATTAAAGACTAAGAGACAAGAGAGCAGTCTCGATATTCTACAAGTAGATATTTGACCACCTGAGTTCCGTCTCACACAAAGGGTGTGTGAATATCCTTTTGCGCAATGTGTGAATATAATTAAGTCAAGGGACGACACTTTGGTTGCGCATTCATCAGATATTTCATTTCCCCGGATGCCATCATGTCCTGGAAATCATATCAACTTAACGTGACGTTGTGTCAGTTGTGCCAATGATTGAATACAGAATATATTTTGACTTAATAACATTGGAGTTAATCGAGAACCCTTTCTAAAAAATAAAATAATTTTGGACCTCTCTGATCAAATAGCATTGTCCCAGTTTTCAACTGGATAATCTAAATGAGGTATAACATACTCGAACATTGATATTTCATCCTTGTTTTCAAGAATATCCAGCAATCTTAACCACATCTAAAAATGCGATTACATACATGCGCATTTATAAACCAAATATTTCCTTACAAATGAAAAGTGAGAAAAGATATGTAGAGTACATTAAGTTTTGGTGAAAAAACAATGAAATTTACAAAAGCTGAAAGACTGGTTTAATTTTGGTATCCAAATATCGGATTTTTCTGCTTCTAAAAATAAGATTAGATGTAGTTCAAAGTTGTTAAAAATGAACAACATCCTCCCAATGACACCCTAATTTAAAATTCATAGGTTTTTCACCCGAATTTGAAGCACTTCGGGTTACTAGTTGTGACGAAAATATGACATCTTTTTATACCCTTGGGTTTGTGCTGATGTTTGTAACGCACAAAAATATTGGTCCGTCCGTCTGTCCGTCCATGTAGACCTTTTAATCAAACTACAGATTTTGAAGATAATTCAATGAAATTTGGTACATGATCTTCTATTGTCCCAGGGACGAAGCCTATTGAAAATGGTTAAGATCGGTCCATTATTTCACCTAGCCCCATACAACAGAACCCCTGAATAGGGCTTGTAAACGTTGTAATCAAACTACAGTTCGCAATTTTGATGATAATTCAATAAAATTTGGCACACGATCTTCTATAGTACCGGAGATAAAGCCTATTGAAAATGGTTAACATCGGTCCATTATTTCAACTAGCCCCCAACCCGACGAATAGGGCTTTTAAATTCATAATAATGTTTAATATACTCGTATCTCAACAAAAAGCTGCAAAACCAAGTGCTATACTAGCCTTTATGACTCTAAATGAATTTTATAATTATAGGCTCTCATTTGACCATAGCACCTATACAAAGCCCCCTTCAAAATTTGACTTAAATGTCCACAATTTTATTCAACAATAAATGCCTTAAGTATATCTGAGACAAGGTGCAATTCAACTTAAATACTTTATTATGAAAACAAAATCACATTTAATTTTTGTAAAAGGTGTAGGGTATTATATGGTTGGCCTCGCCCGACCATAATTTCTTACTTGTTCCACTTTTTTTGTTGGTTGGGTAGTACTTTTCTTGAGCTGTAAACATTTAAAATGTGTTCTCATAAATAGTCAAATATTTCAATATTTCTTCAACTTCCAACAAAATTTAACGAAAATTAGCGGTTTTAAGTCCAGCTATTTCGGCTTAAATTTTTAAGATACCCAGCAAAAAAAGTCTGGAAAAAGAAGTAGAGTATTTTCATCACAACTAGTAACCCGAAGCTGCCGCGTACATTGGCCCTGTTTAGTAACATTTCATAAGTGCACAAAGTACTAATATACACTCAGTTTTCCTCGTGTGTATGTATTATTGACAGCTTTTATATAAAAATAATTTTAACCGGCAGAATATCTACCGATAAAAAAATGTATCATATAATCCTTAAAACTAAATGGAAGCACACACAAAAGTTTACGCCTCTAGATTTACAATATAAGAGCCATCAATGCTCAAAAAATATTAAAATACGAGTGGTTTTGGGATACGTATGATTTTACATAAGCAGAATTGTACTAACTTATCACAAAAACAAAATTCTCATATTCTACCAAACAAATTATTTACTGATTAAAAAATGCGGTTAAAATTACCTTACAAGTTTCATATTGAACGCGTTGTTTAATGTAAATAGTTTATAAATAAATAAAAAGTGTTACCTACACCTTTTATACAGGTACTGAATACTCGATACTATTGCGTTCGGCGTTGCCACTACCAACATTTGTATCCACAAAATGCTTGAAGATGGATGTTACATGTGCTACAAAAATATATTTTATGGAAAACACTTCATATATAATAAATATAAATAATTTTTAAAGGTGTCTCGAACAAACGCAATATTTAGTTCATGCTCAGACTTGAACAAACCGTTCAAAAACAATTTAGGAAATGTTAGAGAAATATTTCAAGCTCTTATTCTATGTATGTACATTGTATATTTCCCAAAAAAGTTAGCCCTTGTCTATATTAGACAAATATTTATTATGCTAAACGTCAAATTGTTATCATAATAAAAAATTAGCAGGTACAGACGGCATTTATTAGCGTTATAACGCCGTTATGACAGTGTTGTCTAAACAATTGTTTAGACAACGTTGTCTTGATAACAAACGTCATTTTATTGTAAATTTTTTATAGAATTTTGTTTTTGTGCAATTTAAATTGATTTTTAACATCAGTTTTAGTGAAATTAGTGTTTATTTACAAAATTTGCATTTAATTGTAATTGTTTTTATAAAATATAGCATTATTTCGATAAAATTATCTGTGAGTTGTCGTGATAAAATCAGCGTTTTGTTACCCCTATGTATTAACATAAACAAAAAACTGACAATTTTTCTGCCGACGTTTTGTCAAGTGCCGTGATAAATATTTGTCTAATATAGACACGGTGTTAAAATTTGTTTTAATTTTTCAAGTGAAGTTTTGGATAATTGCAATTTTTTAACATAATTTAATACTTTTTATGGATAAATAATTGAAAATTTGTATGTAGCGGAGCAGACAAAAAATTATTTGAAAAATGGCGCGATTTTTTCAAATAATTCTTCATTTTTGTGTGGAATGAAGTATTGTATTGTTATAAGACATATCTTTTAAATAATTTAAAACTTTTAATCATTAACCCCATGTTTATATTAGACAAATATTTATTATACCAAACGTAAAATTGTTATCGCGATGAAAAATTAGCAGGTATAGACATCATTTATTGGCGTTATAGCGCCGTTATGACAATGTTGTCTAAACAATTGTTTAGACAACGTTGTCTTGATAACAAACGTCATAGTATTGTAAAATTTGTATAGAATTTACTTAAAATTGGATTTAATTTCAATTGTTTCTGTACAATATAGCATTATTTCAGTAAAATTATCTGTGAGTTGTCGCGATAAAATCACCATTTTGTTACCCCTATGCATTAACATAAACAAAAAACTGACAATTTTTCTGCCGTTTTGTCAAGTGCTGTGATAAATATTTGTCTAATATAGACACGGGGTAATCACTTGTCTATATTAGACAAATATATATTAAGCTTAACGGTAAATAGTTAGCATAATAAAAAATTATCAGGTACAGATGCCATTTATTAGCGTTATAACATCGTTATGACAGTGTTGTCTAATGCTATGTTTCCACTGAGGCGTTTTGAGCAAATATAGTTGATTTGTCCAAAACTAGTTGAAATCATGTAGATTTCCCATACATTTTTGACAAATCCAAATCTACTTAATCTACTAGATAAAGAACAAATAATAATTTTAAAATTGTTGGCATTTAATAAATAAATTTATACAATTAAAACATTAAGTTTGTATTTTTAATGTTTAAATTTAAAAAAAAAAAAATAATTTTATTTTCGTTATATGACAGGATATGTTCGAAAATTCGAATCTCAAAAACGAGTAAGCTCAGTGGAAACACCTCGAAGAGGTTTACGCAAATCTGGTAGATTTGAAGCCAATGGAAACATAGCATAAACAATTGTTCAGACACTTTTCAAACTTTTCACGCCTTATAATCTGCAAGTTACACACCACGCGTCATTTGATTTTTATACCCACCATCAAAAAAGATGGGCGGTATATTGATTTTATCATTCCGTTTGTAACACTTCGAAATATTGATCATAGACCCGCAAAAGTATATATATTCTGTGTCCTTATTAAATTGTAAGACGATGTAGTCCGAACGGAAAGAGCTAGTGAGTTGAAATTTTCCACAAATACTTCCTATAGATAAGGCTTGTTTGGTATTGAAAATGGGCAATGTCGGTAGACGTTTTCACATAGCCCCCATACAAGTGGCCCTCCGAAAACAGCTTTAACAGTCATAACTCTTCTAAAAGTACAAGTATAGCAATGAAATTCGACATAAGCAAGTTTTATATGATCCAAAATATCCCTAGCAAATTTTATGAGAATCGGTCCATAACTGACCCCATGCCCTTCAGAAAATGACTTTAACACTCATTACTGCCTTTAAAATAAGTGTATGGCAATGAAAATCAACATAAGTATATTTCTTAATTGACCCTACCCCCCATATAAGCCCCCCATCAGAAAATGATTTTAACGCATATTTCTGGCTTACAAATACTATTATAGCTATGAAATTCGATAAACATAAATAGGTTTCTTACAAGACAAAATCTCCCTACCTTATTTTATGAGGATCGACCCATAATTGACCCTTCAGAAAATGACTTTAACGGTCATTACTGTTTTATAAATAGGACATAAGCCACAATTATAGGAACGTTAATCTTTGTACCGATTTTTATACGGAACGGATCGGTAATTCATCCTACCCCCATATATGGTACCCTTCCGAAAATTACTTTAACGCTTACTATTGGCATAAAAATGCGAGTACAACGATGAAATTCGATATAAACACTCATGAATGAACTAAAAATACGAGTACAGTGATGAAATTTGATGAAAGAAATAAGTGTTATACGAACCGAAATCTATCTACCAAATTTAACGACAATCGGTCTATAATTTACCCTATCGCCCATATTTAAAAATTGGACAAACATATTTTGCTTTTAAAAAGATATATTTTGTTAATCCGAAAGGGCTGTGTCCATAATTGTCTTAAGCTCTATTTCAAATATCAATGTTTATAGGAGAATATTCCATTAACGGCATACGGTTTGATGGTGGGTATATAAGATTCCGAATATAACACACTTATCCCCATTTTCACCAAAATTTATTTTATAAATTTAACTGAAAAAATTACTAACTGCCAGTTTGGCTAACGGAAACTATCCTTCAGTTAGATAACTTTAAAATAATTGTTACTGTAGGCAACACTTTACTTATATTTGACAAAATACAACGTCAAACAGGATATTTTGAACAAACTATTTATCCATTTTAAAACTTAATTCTTCATGATATTTGAAAAATGCTGTGAATCTTCTATATATATAAAAATCAATGTATGTTTGTTTATTTGTTTCCGTGTGGAGTTGTTAGATCTTCCATCGGACACGTCCTAGGTGGCGGATAGGGGGAGCTAAGAATGGTCTTTTTCGATACATTTGATATATGTAAATGGTCAAAAACGTCGATGCTAGTTCGAGATAAGACAGACCTTACTAGATAAATTTTTGGTAAATGGTCTAACAAGCCTGTCATATCTAGATGAGTGCATGATTCAGGATAATCTTTTTATCATACACCAGTAGATACATTTTTGACAAATGGTCTATTGGAGATGAAAAGAGATGATAGATTGCTGCTATGATAACAGACGGTCATATATGATAGCAAGATTCTTCCTGTTCCTCATGTTCAAATCCGCGGATCAAAACTGTCACCCTTTCCCTCTTCCCATATATCCAACTTACCTAGTTTCATCCCTCTCCAATCCAATCCCACGGCCCATTCCCTTATTCTCCACTTGTAAGGTAGAGGAGGTTATAAGCAGTGCCGAGAACCTGAATGGCTAGTCAGTGGTTAAAGAAGACTAGTCGATAACAGCTCCCCTCCGATGCCAGGGTACGGATCGGTTATAATACTTAGCCTAGCTCATGTACGCCGTCCCTGCGTGGGTCGTCCAACCCATTACGCGCCTACTCGTGGGAATCACATGGAAAACACAAACAAACAACAAAAAACCCACGGAAAACCAGTTGGGGAATCCTAAGCTGTTGGACTGCAAACAGCCTACTATCCAACCTTCTGGTGATAGTATGGCTAAACTGTTACGGAACGTGTTTCCTGGCGAGGTTTCCGACTATGGAGTATGTTATTGATCTCAGGCGGTCCCAACCCTGCTCACCAGGTACAGAACCGAACAGTAAACAAGGAAAAGAAAACTACAATAAACAAACTACAGGAACTAAACAAACCAAGACAGCCACATGAAAAGATTGCGAGACAGCTATTCGTCTCGTCTGCCCTACCAACCTTGTCGTAGCTGCATCCGCATTCACTAAGCATACGTCCCAAGTCCTGGAACTCTTCTCCACTTACCTCTCCATCATTGCCGTAAACGTAATAATTAATTCACCATACTGCTAGAATCAAATTTACATGATTTATTCATCAGGATTTTTACTTAAATATATTAATGCTATGTTTCCACTGAGGCGTTTTGAGCAAATCTAATGGATTTGGGCATAACTAGTTGAAATCGTGTAGATTTGCCATACAGTTTTGACAAATCCAAATCTACTTAATCTACTAGATTTGATTTAAAACATGTCGAAAATGTATTTTTCCGAACAAGATTTGCTTATGCAACACTGTAGGCTATCCATTCAATTTGAATGTTTTCATCGAAAAAGTGACATATTATTTCAAAATAAAAAAAGAACAAATAATAATTTTAAAATTGTTGGCATTTAATAAATAAATTTATACAATTAAAACATTAAGTTTGTATATTTAATGTTTAAATTAAAAAAAAATAATTTTATTTCCTTTATATGACAAGATTTGTTCGAAAATTCTAATTTCAAAAACGAGTAAGCTCAGTGGAAACACCTCCAATATCATTAATTTTGACGCTATGCAAGAAATTAACAATAACAACACAATAGAATATTAAACCTTTTCCTCTAGAATTTCCCTTTTCTTTATTTCCTCAACCTACACAGTGCTCAAACTTTCACAAATCTTCCCAAATTTTAGGATTTTTCTCCGATCAACAAAATCTATAACATACCTAAAGGAGCTCCCTGAGATATACGTTTTATTTTT